AAAAAAAAAAAAAAAAAGACGAATTTTTATCGGTTGTTCCATAAAAAACTTATCAGTGAGCCAATTTTCGTAAGAATAAAAGCTCAATGTTGTTTAAATAAAAAGAGTATAAAAAACAATTTCACTGAATCAAACTGTATAACAATTCCCTCGTAAAAAAAATTGATGTCGTTAAAAAGTGATCAGTTTTTTCTCAACTGATCGACTGAATCTTAAATTTTTTTTGAAGTAGTTCAAATTTTCATTAAGAAAAAGACTGCAGTCTTAAAAAAAATTTTGTAAAGAGAAATTAAATGATGACTTTTTGATAATGTTAAAAATAGGCACCCATACGATTTATTAGTTGTTAAAAGCAAAAAACGAAAAAGAATCAAATAGATCTGTCCTTAAAACAGTCTAATAACTATGCTCAGAAACTTTTGGTGTGTATCTTAGACAGCTTCTTTTTAAAAACTGGTAAAATGATTTAAACTCTATCGCCATTATTATGACTCTGAAATGTGCTCAGCCATAAACCGTCACTTGAGTGAGAAATTTGGTCCTAAGTGAATTTCAGTATGCAACAGTTTAATACTTCAAAGTTCAAGTAAGATTTTAATGAATTCAAGCTAAGTATTTGAAATGACGTAAAACAGCGTCGTGTTATTCTTTTAAATTCGGAAAAAAGAGGCGGTGTTTTTTATCACTTTAAAACAAATATCAAAGTTCGGGGTGGTTATTTGAAGTGCTTTTTTCTTTCTGAATTTAAAGTATAGCAGATCAGTTGGTTTTGTAAAACTTGACAGAGAGTAACTTCAGTTCCTGCAGTTAAGTATCGCTCCTGAACAGTTTTTAAAGATGAACCCCCTCCAAACGGTAAACCAATTTCTAAACTAGCTTTTTCTTCTTCTTTTTCCTAATATAAGAAGCTCTTGCTATAACCCATGGGTGCTTTCCACAAAAAAAGCAGTTTATGATAAAAGGAACTTTCAATTTTCAAACGGTTAACCTTAAATACATCAAGTAATTTCTACAGACCATAGAATTAAGATAACATATATCAACAAAACTTCTTCGAATAACTGCAAAAAAAAAGAACCAAATAAAATTTGGAAGAAAAATGACAAAGAAACTATAATAATTTCATGTGCGCTTACTTGGCCTTGAGAAGGAAAAAAGTGAAATTGAGCTATCGAGAAATATTGGACGAAAAGCTACAGATGCACAACCATCAGCTTTCATATCTGAAAATAGCACCGATATATCAACATATCTAGCATGGTGAGCTCAACAACATCTGGTTACCGATAGATAGTTCTGGTATAGACTGCAATGTATCCGTCGATTCCACATTTATCTTGTAGGTTGCATTTCGTTGTACATTCTTATCTGTTCGACAAAATGATAATAACGGAATAAGAATTTCGGCGCTGGCAATTTTTCCTTTAATTAAAAAAGATCTTTTGACTCTGAGGAACTCAAGTTAATAGCAGTTTTACAAAGCACTGAACCACAAAACTATGTTTTATTATTTACTTGGTAAAAAATATATAACTGTACCTCTGTTTCTTGAGATTGCAAAAAACTGACATCTAGAGGTAGATACCATTGGATTGTTTAAATTGATCAAAAATGTAGTGCAATACGTGTCAACTAAAATGCAATAAAACAGATTCAAGAATGCAAGATAAAGAAGAATCAAAAAATGGTAAAAACTTACCTTCTTCGTTGATTACAACACATTTTTCAACATTGAATTGTGAATGACATAACAGTCGGATATCTAATAACGGGAAAGAATCTTTGACGACAACTTCCACAACTGCGCATATTCCTTCTGTTTCACCAGCAAAATTGTCTTCCTAAATTTTAAAGCTATATTTTCTGGATTCAGGAATTGAACCGTTATAGAATCAAATTGTTCCTTTAGAAATTGCAAATATTTAAGTTAAAAAACTTTATTTCTCCTTTTATGCAAACTATTTGACATCTTTTGGTTCAAAAAAGCATACTTATTCTTAAAACTTTTTACTTCTTAGATTACAATTTCTTCAAAAAACTTGGGCTTAAAAACATATTTTTCATGTGTAATTTATCTTTTAGGTATCTTTCATTTTTTAAAGCTTCAATACCAATTAAGCTATTGTCTTACAATTTCTTTTTGTAGACCCTTATATGTACATTCCAATCGTAGACCTTCGACGACTTTTTCACCTAAACAAACATCTTCCAATAAAATATTTTTTGCATACCACTTTGACAGTATTTCATTAAGTGATTAGTAAGACTAACAAAATATTTTTAAAAGCTGTTGAGACTGCTCGCTTAATTACTCGTTACTGTCAAAATGACAATTATTTTTCAAGTTCTAAAACTGAAGGGTTACACCTTTGCTTCCTGCCTTAAAATTTAGTTTGTTTTACCTGATTTAATTCCGTCAACCTGTTGTCGAATAACAGATTCCAATTTCTGAAGCTCTATATGACGTTGCTTAAAGTCTACAAATCTAGTTTGAGATGATGGAAGACAAAATATTGATGGTTCAGTGCCCAAGTATGCTATCGATAGTCTTTCACTAGACAGTATCGCCAACATACAACGGTATTCCCTAAAAATATTTCACAAAAAACTTCTCAAAAAAGAATTACTGCAGAAATTGTAATAAATAGCCTTGGTAGATACTACGTCATGATCATATAACTCCTTCTCTAAATCAGTTTTTACCCGAAAGAACAAAGTTGTAAATCAATTGGATCGATCTGCAGATTCGCTGTCCAGATCAGAATATTTTGAGCATAAAACTGTAATGTACGGCTTGCAACAATACAGTATCTTAAATATGTCTCACCTGTAACAGTCAATGGTCTTATTATTCAAAAAAGATATTCTAATCAGCAATAGGGCAGAAGTTAAAAAAAGACTAAACGTACCAAATCCATAGGCAAGTAGATGAGTTGCGATACACTGTAATCGTATATTAAACCTCAGTATACCTCCCTGAGTAAAGCAGTACAAATTTCTTTTACAAAGAACGAGGATCGAAGGTTGCAAAGTGGGCGACCCGGCAGTGCTTACACCAACCGGCCAATCTCCCAGAGTGAAAGCCCAGTCAGCCTTAATTAGTCAATAAAAATGACCAGTGTATTGGCTATCTTGAAACTTAAATAACTAAGTTATTGTTCGTTTATAAAGAAGTAAAAATAGGATGGTCATGATGACACGATAATTTGGAAAAACAGATTGCCTTGAGCGCAAGAAGTATATTGAGATGTGAAAATCCGCACTGTTACACCCTCCAACCTGTGACAGTTTCAAGCAATAAATTTTTTATAGTCTCAAGGTTCCCTGTCAAAAAAATTTTCTTCTAAATCATAAATTCCCAAATCTTTCAGTAAAAAATTCCAC